AACATTCAAAAGCTTCCAATATGTATGTATGCGGAAGACGCTATAGAATTCCACAGTTGTGAGCAGTGACTCTGAAGATATAACATTAACATTGCCCCCTGGAAGTGTAGTGATTACTGACCATTTTCACTTTTCCGCATGTCACTTAAAAAATTCTGTGGTACATTTATTAACGCCGGGAAATGCAAAGTTCAACATTAAATGCTCTTCTTTGAACTTAGACTTCAAATTTGAACAAATTATTTCCCAAGTGACACAAAATAACCAGACCGGAAAATGTGACAGTTAGTTTAATATACATTTTCGAGTCGCGGTTTGGTCAAAAATTGGTGGTCAGATGACTGCTGAAGTCGAAAATTCTTATGAATTATCAGTTTGTTTGGCACGATCAAAAGTCTAATTCTTCCGTCACCCCGGAAAAATCCTGCGGAAAATGGGTGGAAAAATTTTCATTTTCCGAGATGGGATGCCAATATCAGGATACAAAAAAATATTCTCTACAAGACGTGCATTTTTGCAGAAGTATCTCACGCGTGAAATGCAGACAAACACGAATGTTTTCGATTTTACGCACTTTGCCATTTATCGAAAATGTATTATATAAAATGGTTCTAAAGCCATATTTCGTTCGATGCGACGTAAAGTGGCGTAGCATAATTCTTCTGCTCCGCGTGCTTAAGCGCCCAGAGTGGTGCCGAACAGAGCCCGAGTGTCAACTTCGGGGGCAATCGTGCTTGCCAGTTCCCGGTCAAAATAGAGTCAAATGACCAACAAATGTATGCCCCATTACACAGAATCGACCAATTTTTGGGCGCCTTTTCGTAGTAGTTCTCGACTTTGGTGTATAAATGCGAAAGGTTGCTAGACGGTCGGATAGCATGCTATTGCAACTCGCCGTGTTGCTTGGGTTATCAGTTTGTTTTCCGCAGTTTCAATAATACATTCTAGCTTAAAACTTTCCTCCTAATATGTCAGTGAACTCTTCTGATTTTTGGTTCTTCTAAATTTGTCGTTTCACATGCGGTGAAAGCATCATTGCACTTTCGGGTCCTCACAAGAGTAATTGAAAGCTAAAAGCACTCTCATTATTTCAATCGAAATCCCTGTCAATTTTGTGTTTGCATGGGAAATCTTTGAATCCGCGGTCAAAACTTGTCCGCTGTGACAAAAGGTTCCACATTTGCGTGGTAAATCATTCAGTGTCGCATTAGCGCGGAATCCGAACAGTGTTCAAAGCTATGCAATATTTACTTCGCAGCTCCTGTAATTTAATTTGCCAGCAATATCTTCGCTCAGATCACTAATAGCTCCATAAACATGCTCATCGTGGAATGTTTAATGTGTGAATCGCGAGGAGCGACAAATGGTGGACCAAATTGCATTTTCCACCATTCATCATCCGACGGCCACTCTTTGGCACATAAAATCGCAGAGAAACAATGCATGGAAATCGATGGGCATTGAATTGACAGTGCGACGTGTTTAATGTGTGGCTGAACATATAATTTCCTAGCCGTGTGACTCTTCGGAAAACGGGTCAAGTTTGCATTATTCCCGGAATGGATTCAATATGCTTCGCGACGCATATTTCTCCTCGGTCAAATCGTCATAATTTTGTCATCCTTGTGCCCGATATTTGCACACTCTCTTGCAATTCAATTTGAATACTTAATGAACTTGTGTGACAATTCACTGCTGTGCTGTTTGGACTGGGGATGCAATATTTCAGCCCAGTGAGGCCATTTTTTGCCACTCCTCCCTCGGCACCCGTATATTTCCTCCTCGGAAGGGTGCAAAGAATAGAGGATTTGGGATATAAATAACGAGCAAAATGGGAATTTGTAATTTTGCAAAATGCATCATGGTGTCTCTCACACATGCATGCTAACTTTCAGTCTTCCCATGATGCCTCACCCACCCCCACGACGCCACCACCCTCAATCCCCTGACGTCCTAATGAGTCATTACAGTTGTGCGGCGGGCGAGGGTGAAAGTCAAAAAGTACCATACAAACGTACACATTACAATGTGGATTATGTGGCATACATTTCCGCGTGTTTTCATTTAAATTTACAGCAGAAACAAACCACCCCGCCGGCATTTTCGCCGCCACCCACTCAAACAATAATAACTTGCAGAAATTTACTGTTTCACTTATTTAAATAATAGCATTTGTGGCATTAATAAATTTATTTGATGGCTAATTTATACCATGTTGTACTTTTACGTATGGCCCAACTCACGCCAGACAGCCTAAAACCCACTTCGCAAGATACGGCTTATGCTAAACATATTAGGCATACGGAAAAAAGAGCGCAGCACAATTTATTTGACAAATCAAGAGTTGAGTGTGAGGGTGAAATTGTGTTTCACGGTTCAACTCATTGCAGTGCATTTTGTTGGTGGTTTTCTGCCAAATGTGGTTTTGTGACTGATAACAAAGCAATTGGCAAAAATGTTTGCATTTACACCAACTAAAAACCCATATGAATTTACTATCAGGAAGTGCCATTTAGATCTAAATATTTTACAAGAGCTCACTTGTCGAGGGTGTGAATGGGAAAGTGTGCATCAGTGCTTAAATGTGTGTGCAGAATGGCTTCATAAATGAATAATTCGGAGGAAAATTATAGCGTCTTGCAGTGTGATGAATATTGATTTGCTCTATAATGTTTGATTTTCCGAGAGTACTTCATTAATGATTCGACTTGAGTGTCGCTAGAAAAAAGGACATCTTTCTATACCGGATGTGAATTTATCGAATTAAGCGCTTGAAAAGGGGAGGAAAATGCATGATAAGGAAGCGATACACAAGAGATTCACTCACATCCGCTCACTTTGCGCTTAATTTCCGTAATGAGAACAGCAAATCGTTTGGTGACAAATTCAATTTGCCGCCACTTGAGAACCCTAAATTCGTCGAGACACTTTGACAATTGACATGTTTACCCAGTCATCGATGGCAAAGTTTTTCCTCCTCGACGGACATGTGTTTGTCTCCCGGGCTGAGAGGCAAACAGATCCTCCCCATTTCCCGAGGCTGCTCATCATGTCTCACTTTGGCACAAGAGCGTCTTTGCTGTGGCGCACAAACTATCGTGACAAAGTTATCGAATGATTGATGATCGTAATGAACGCAAAGTGAGCCCCATCAAGGGGCGCAATGGAAAGTTGTGTATCAACAAGACATGTCACAGACATAGCACAACACTTCCCCTGCCACCGGAAGAACTCGTCCTGGTCCTCTTGCGCCCCACCCCCACCCCATGGGAAGGAAGTTTATTTATTTGAAACTCCCTTCTTTGCGCCATCAAGCAGCAATTTGAATTTTTTATTGTTTGGATAACATGAATCAAGTATTTCTAAGATAAAAAACTTGTCTCCACTTCTGTGTTTGTCTTTCCCCACTTGAAGGCATCACTCTTCCGGGAGTGTTTTTGCTCAATGATTCCCCCACGAAGGGTTGAATGTCACAGAATTTCCCCGACACTCAGGCACACAAGGCAACCCCCTGAGGAAAGTGGTGAGAAGGGGGCGGGCGCCACAAGGCAGTGTCGTGAGGGGTGCGAGGGTGGAAAAAGTTCAACTCTGGCTAATGTACTTCTCAGTCACTGTAAAATTATTCCCCATAATGAGTGGAGGAAAGTTGGTGGTTGGCAACTGATAAAACTCCACACAGCAAACTTCCTTTTCATTTGTGAATTGAAAAGGCGAAAATGTGTTTTTCATCGCGTCAATTTCTGCACACACCGCGCGCGCTCACCCTCGCAATCAAGCGCAAAGAAATTACATCATCTTGTGTGCAAGAAAGTTCACACAACAACATTCCTGAGGTCGGAGAAGTCGGCAAAATATCTCTCGTCGCGCAACTGTGGCTCAATTGGATGGTGACATTCCAGGTGGATAATGTGGGGTGTGGGTGGCGCGCCACCCCTTGAGCCACAGTTGCACTTTGACTGTTTTAATGAGTGGCGCAATGGAAACCTCGGCAAGAGCACGGTGACACCGTGGAGAGGAACTAGTTAGACGCTCTGCACTCACCATCGTCACGGATTTTCCTCCCCCCGGGGCCTCTCCGGCGCTCCGTGTCACCAGAATTTCGGATACGTCCTCCACCATTTGCACATTCGCTCACAACTTTATACTTTCGCCTGCAAATGCCGATGGCAGGGAAATTCCGATGGGAATGCGCTGCATTATTCAAATCCGTAATTCACTGTGATTTTTCGCTATGCAGCTGCACCAGATCAAGTGAGAATCTACTGATAAAGTCTACGCTAGACTCGCAAGCACTTCTGCGGTGGTTGCGGCCGAAAAGAAGAGTCATTCTGAAACGCCGTCAAATTCTGAAGATTTTCCTAATTTATTTTAGCATGTTTAAATTGTAGATGATTTTCTATGACTCTATGCTACCTCTCCTGATCCTGCGTTACATCGTAATCAATCCATCAACTCACTGACTGCATGTTCAGCACTGGGATTACCTGTGATATTTGATAGTTTGCCGGAGGATTTTAATCCCGCCCGCTCCCGTGTCAGAAGGCAGCCACGAGGTCGGCGAAAGATGCAAGACATATTAATTTCAAAGGTGTATCGCTGGATCTTTCATCCCGGCTTTCACTGGAGCAACAATGGGCAGAGTGGAGATGGGCTAAAATGAAAAAGACATGACGCTGTGAATAAATTTTTTATGGGATTTCCCATCATCCGCCCCTCCGCCGAGTGTCACCCCCAGCATTCCGTCAAATGGTAATCCAACCACATCGTGTCCCCACCTCCTTGCCTGCAGGATATGTTGTCTAATCCCGCTATCTGTTGATACTTCCACCTACTCTCGGGCTCACCTCGGCGCCCCGGAGCCTCAGCCCCACCGCTCAGGTCGCAAGCACGGTGGCGGGGATGCGCTGCGCGTGGCGCGGCCGAGCGCCGCCGAGCGCGGCGACGCTTCGGCCAACCAGCGTCGATCTGCTGCCCCACGCGTCGTGGGGAACGGCAGTCTGTGTCTCAGTGTCGCGACGCGAGGACGTGCTCCAGGCCGCGCGAGAGAGTCTCTTCTTCATCGCGTCCGCAGTCGATGTCTGGTGGTCTCTTGCAGGGCTTCTGTCGCCCCCACGGGCCGCCCACATTCACGCCCCCCCGGACGCCCTGTCTTGCTGTGCGGACTGTGTTTAATGGACAAACTTCCACGGTTTCATCACTCCGGGATCTCACGTGAATCCCACAGAGTTTCGCGGATTTCCAGAGCCGTTAAATCTCGTGCTGTCCATTCGCTGAATAATTCACACGCGCGCTAAATTCATTCTCGCCTCTCTGTGCTGTGATTTCCATGGACAACGCCGAGATTTCCCTCGTCGCAGGGAGAAAAAAGCCGCAGTGGTGTAAAAGACTCCGAGACAGAGCTTAAGAGCGGAGGGAAAAAAGGTCAGAAGTAAATTCACATGTGATTGTTGCTTTTCACCATCACTGCGAGAGACATCCCCCACCCCCACTCCCTCTCCCAGAGGGTGGAAATCCCATCTTTCCTCCGCCGAGGAATTGGTGGAGGGCGCAAAGAGAAAAACCCCATACAATAATTTATTGTTGTGTTACTCTCGCCATTCCCATATTGTTACCATTTTCGCCCCTGAGTGTGGCCAGAAAAAAGCCTCCCACTCGCCACTCAAGACTTCCGTCCAACACCATTTGACCGTAACCAGTAAACCGCAAGAGTCTCTCTCTCGCCCCCTGCAAATCCGCATGTGGCGGGAAGTCGAGGGTGAGGTGACCAACGATGTGCATTTATGGGATGACCAGGAGTGGAGGAGGAAGCTCAAGCGAATCCCTCCAATGAACACGGCAAGAGGAAATGAACGGACTAAAGAGCTTCCTAAGACAATTTGCTAAAGAGTAAAAATTCTATTTCTAATTAAAAATGGACAAGAACTATTCTATTTCCACCATAGATGTGATTTGTTGCCCTTTTGGTTTACAAAATGCAACATAACACGTTACTGAATTTATAATAATGCACACACCCTTTATTCTCCCCTCAATAATTGCATTAATCAGCCCCCTCGATGTTATTACACCCTGGCAAATTGATTGACGAGAAGATTGCACAGAATCTCTTTCATCCTGCCAAATATGCTGCCGCACTTTCGGCGATGCCACAACGCGAATAGCATGGAAATAATGCACATGAATACCGAAAACAATTCCCGACGTATTTGGCAATAATGTGATTGGTGTTGCGGCAGTATTATGGGTACGTGGCATAGATGATGTCTTTCTGGGGAGATTAAAATAAATAGTTTATTCATCCGAAGAGGCGGCACACTTTACTCCAATTTTTCCTGCCATTTTCTCTTTTCTAGTGTGCGACCATAGAAATTGCGCCCAGGAGATTCTTCTGCATCACTATTTGATGATTATACCGAAACACATAGGAAGAAAAGACCATCAGAGTGAGTGATTGTGAGTGAATCACACTCTCTGTTCGCCCGGCAAACAACATCTCTGTAGTCGCAACAAATTATTCATTAACGTGCAAGTGGAGGGAAAATTGCACAAGAGAGCGCGGTAAAAAGGTAGGAAAATCTATTTTTAATTATCTACAGATTATTTTGCCTTTCTTCTCACAACTCTCTCGACCTTTCGACATATAAACATATGTATATAAACTTATATTTTCGCTATAAAACGTGCGAGTGTTTTTCTGTGCGTGTAAAAGTCACATTGTGGCGCGTAAAAAAAACTCGCGCCGTTCATTGAGACAAAGAACATTGAGGTGATGAATGTTTTCTTAGAATTTTCCCCCGGTCGAATCGTTGGGTGTTTTCTTTGTCTCTGAATATCAAAATAATTTCTCCGCAAAACCATATGGAAAAAAACACCCCCAGTTTTGGCATTTGCTAATTGAGCTGAAAATTTCCCTGTCAAACAACTTCCATCACCAAAAACTATCATTATATCTGGGCGGAATGTCTCAGAGTGAGAAAGTACAGAAATTATTAAATTTAATTAATATCACCTGCTGAAAGATTTCCACGCTGTCTCGCAAGCCAAACGTCAAAATGTGGCCCCGAAGAAGTTCGTGCGAGTATTTTGAGGTTGAGCTCCATCAAATTCATACCATATGACGGGATCTTTTTACATTTTCTTCTCATTCTTACATTGTGTAAATTAATTAAATTCTCTCTGTGCAAATTTGCCACACAGGTTCATTGTGAAATGTGAGGGCAGGAGTTTAAGGGAGGAATTTATCTCAATTGTGTAGGATTTTTGCTGCGGTTTCGCTGCTATTGCAAAAATTCATACTTTTTCAACCATCATATGAGCATATGAACATTCATAGCATTTTGGTGCAATTCTCAGTCACACAAGAAGTGTTAAAAATGTGTTATATTGGTTTAACACACACCTTTGCTATTCTAAGTCACACATGCATGGCTTAAAAAGGCGATTGTGTTAAACAAAATTCACCAATTGTGTTATTTTCTATTCTAATTAACATGTGTTAAAACATTTTGTACCACCTGAATGTGTAATTTTAACACGACTTCCAGAAGTTGTTTGAATGAATCTGTAAAAAGGCAGAGTCACAGATCGGAAGCTGCAGAATAACTTGCAAAAATTGATGAATCAGTAATTGTGGCTCTAATTTTTAAGCATGAACATCACAAATTTCTTAATTATTTACTTGTATTTTATTAATTTTATCAAATTTCACAATTTTTTTCTCTTACACATTATGAAATCGCCTAGAACTACTCAAAACACTGAGCGAGAATTCGAAGGGCTGTTTTTCCTTATTCAGTTCGACTGTTAAACTTTTACATGTCTAAAGCTTACATTCCTGTGTTTGATTGAGAATAGATCCATTTATTTGAATGTGTGAGCTGAATTTCTGCATCGAAAATCTCTGATCGACATCTGTGTGAACAAAGCTCGCAATAATATCTATTTCACTCCACTATATTTGCTCCAAATTACAATCCATGAGCCAGAGAATGCGTGATGAAAGAATTGTAAATAAATAACACGGCAAACATGAGAATTTGGATGGTATAAAAATAAAGCCGATTAAGAGAATCGGTGGAAATTATGGGAATTTCCGCGATGTGCCGGAGTTTGTGGGTGAAAAAATGGTGGACTAAAAGTTTTCCACTGTGTAAATTTACCTGTGGGTATGCTTTTTCAATATAAAAATTTTATTTCCACTCATTAATCTATTCATATGAGTGCTTTTTCATGGCTCAGCGTCCAAAAACCCAGAAACTTCTCCCCACTGTTTTTTGCCCTCACAGCGAAGCTCAAAAAACGTTAGAACGCATCGCAAGGGCGAACAATAAAAGCACGATGCATTTAAATATCTCCGCAAAATGCAAGCCATACCGTAGTTTTCACCCCTTCTGTGAAGGATGAATTGGATATTGGATGAAAATAATGGAGCCTGAGGGGCTGTTCGCTGCTGATTTTCATGTGTTTCCCGATTGAGTTTCACAACATGCGAAAATTGATGCACTTTTGCGGGTTTGTGGGTTGTTTCTATGAGAGTCTTGAGATTATTCGTGTCCATCTTTGAGTCGCCATTTCCATGATTAGCCCCTGATTTAAGGGTGGGTGAGAGTTCGCCAGTGGTGATTTTGTCTGCATGAAAATGAATTATTTGTGCATTTTAAACTCTCTATGGGAAGTTTTAATCTGTTCGCCGAATTGTAATTATTCAGGGGTGCAGCATAAATTTTGCATAAAGCCCAATGAGAGAGAATTGTGTGACATGGGGTGGCAAGTTCATGGAGTTTTTGTCCGTCCTTCATCCGCAAAAGAGATCACAGAGAGCTAAATGATTTCACAATTGGCGATTTATCAATTCGCCCATCCTCGCTTTTTCCTTTTTTTCTATTCACGGCATCCATACAGATGAATGTGCCACTTTTAAAGGTACTTTCGGGGATACTTTCCACTGCAGCCTGAGCAAATCAATATAATGTTTTAACCACTAAAATGGTTCAATTAATCTCACGGCATTCGCCGAGAGTTTTGTGATGAAACACTCAAGTATTTCTCGCACGAATTTTACTGAAATATTTAGCACACTCTCAACCGAATAACAAGGTGTGTTCAACCAATGACGCTCAGATTTCAACATGATTGAGACTTTATTTATAGATTCCCCAAAATCTTGTGCTGAGGTATGATTTTCTTCGGGGGATAAAATTCTCAGACAGACACACACACGTGAAATCCCACTCAAAACTCCACACCACCAGGCGTCTCCATCCAGTGTGATGGAGGCGCCTGGTGCCTACAATGCATTTTCAGCCACAAATGCAAAAAAAAACTTGAAAATATTGCCGCTAATAATCAATTTATGCACATGTTTTTCCCCCACTCAATTTAATACCGTGAAACAATAACCACAACGGCTTTTTTCACTGATGGTTTTAACATTTGAGACTCTGCAGTGAAAAAGCGTTGTGAGAATTTGGTTGAAAATATAATAATAAAATCGATGAACCCCCCTCAATAATATTATAAATGTTTATTCGCAAATTCACTATGCTGAGAGCGTTTTATTTTCCTCATAACATATCTATTTTATTGGGCTAAAACTGATTGAAACAATTATGCCGACAGCGTCAAACTGAAAGTTTCTGAAGCGGAAAGAAAACTGGCACAGTTTGCGGTATAAATATTTGGGTTTATCACGTGAGACTTCACACAGATTCGCCATTCACACGGCTTTAACTAATTTGGGGGGAATTTTCATAGCGAATGGATGTACATATAGTATAGTGTTTTGTATTTTGTGAGCAGGAAGGAAAGCAGTTGGATTAAGTGCATGAATTTGGACGAAAAAAAAGCAATTGTTATTTGTAAATACACAGAAACAAGCACACAAAATTGAGGGTGGAAATGCATCTTAAATGTATTCTAATCTTATACGATGTTTGTCTGCACACAATCAGCTTCCAATTTCAATTACTAATCATATTTGACTTTCCTCTCCTCGGCTTTTGTGTGTTCATGATTTAATTTCCGTGTGTGCTACACTCACACTGATTGATTGTATCAATTTTCAAGCAAGAAGCAAAATATTCCCAGCCAATAATTAGAAACTCACTATCAATATTTGTTGGCCAAACTCACTTCCAGGACAAAGTCCGTGGAAGTGAGAAGAGCAAACAGTATCTCATGTATTGCAAATGCAATAATCGATGGATGTGTGTGTGTGGGAAATTCAGTGGGTTTGCGCTTCCCAAACTTCCACCGCGCGCTCCTCCTTGGCATTCCTCAGATGTTTGTTTTGAGAACTTAATATTGTGGAGTCTAGCTGCAATTCTCGCAAATTCACTAAATAAACTTCAGTGGATGCGCAACAGGAAGAGCTTCTCGCCGTGCGGAATTGGTGTGTTGGAAGAGCGCACGTCCAAGAATAAAATTTACACAACTTATCTATATATGCTTTTAGGGGGGAGAGGAAAATGTGATTTTCATATGAAATGAGAATTAAATTTTGCCGGTATATCCAAACATTTGTCATTTCTATATGCTGAGAGTACAGTTTGTGTGGCGCACACGAGAGTTTGCCTAATGAAAAAGACATATTATTGCAAATTAATACATCTCCAGGTGTTTGGAGAATACATAGTTACTCAACTAATTTACCTTCCTACCAATTTCTTCATTGTGATCATCACTACATATTTTCATTGCCAACAAATCCCCAGCAAAAGCGCCTCGACACACGCATTCTGGCCTGTGACATTCGGAGAAAATGGCATCCGGTGGAGGACATGAAGTGTGTGCCGGAGTCGAGCGAGTGTGAAGCGTGAAAAGTGGCTGTGAAGTGAATTGCCAAATTGGACAGTGATTTAATGAAGTTCCATTAATTTCTGATACAAATGCCATCTTAATTAGATGAAATTAATTTAATGAATCCATCCACCCTTGCGCACTTTCCTCATGTTGAAAGCTAATCTACAATTATTCAGGATGTATTTAATTATATTTTCCATTCCCCATCAGCTCCTCTCACTCTCCGCCGTGTGTGTGTGTGCGGTGATAAATTTATGGTGGAGTTTGCTCAGCCCAATGTAGGGCGAGTGAATATGTGTGCTGAATTAGTCAATTACCGTACATCCACATTTAATTAACACCGATTAATCGACTGACAAGTGGCACTTAATTCACCATTGATTAGCAGACTATTTCGCATATATTAATGCTGATGCGTCGTCAGCAGAGATGCGTTTACCCAAAGTCGTGTTGCTTGCAAATATAGCCTCGCCATAACGCACTCACGCTCGCCTCCAATAATCCTCCATCTCCGCCGAATCTGACACAATGCCGAGATCAGTTTACATGAGATATGTGTGCATCAGACACGCTACATTGCACAATCATCGGGGGAATTTGTGCACTTTGAGGAAATGGCCACAGGAACGCCAAGGGGTTTAGTGCAGACATTACGGAGGCATATTTGCGGTGAAAAACAGTCAATAGTAGCATTGAGCATCTTGTGATCGTCACGAATGCACCATTTGTGAGTAGGAGAGACTTAAGAGTGTTTAGTTTACTATAA